CAGGCGGTAGGTATCACTAAAAGATAAAGGCCACTTAAACATACATTAGTTTGAATTAAAATCCAAATAAGGTTCGCACACTGGGACCAAGCCTCAGAGAAAAAAAGAAAAGTAAGGGGGCAACAAGGTTGGATCTTCCCACGGCCCATGCAGTTAATAGCATGAACCTCTGGTATTTCATGAGGAAAAACAGGAATACTTATATTACCGTAAATATTTTTAGAATGTGTTTGAATGAGTTTACATGTCACAAAGGGAGAGAATAAGTTAACAGTGCAAAACCCTAGAATTATAAGAGAGTCTGGTAAAGAACGGAAAGATAAAAGCCTTGAAAAACCAAACCAAAATAAAAACACCCTATTTCTACAAGGACCTATTTGTTTTCTAAATAAAGTAGAGAAATGCAAGTATTTTATTGGAAGTTGTTAAAATGTAGAGTTTATATTAAAAAGTAGGTTGGGGGGATTAGAGGTGAATTCGGGGCCCTTCCCCCATGAGTAAACATATTACTGAAATGAACAAAGAGAACAGAAAATCAAAACTGCTGGTAATGCCCCCAGGGAAACACTGTTGTTGATGTTATTCTAGATCTGCATATTCCCATATAAAATCCTACATATAAATTTATGTTCTGTAAATACCTTAAATTAGATCCATTGTGTATACTATTTTGCAACTATCTCTATCAAGATATTGTAAGTGCCCATGAAAATAAACATCTTAACATTTAGAACAGTATAGCATTGCCCTAGTTTAATAACCCCCCAATGTTAGGTAACTAGATGGCTTCCATTGATTGATTCTTTGAATAAAGTCTAGGATTAGACTTGATAATTAAAGGTTTTTCACTTTTTACAGCTTTTGTAATATTCTGTTAACTTATTATGGGATATCTGAAAGCTGTATACATTGAAGAATGGAAAGTGTCCCGATGATTTACTGTATGGGGTATCTGCCAAGGAAATAATATATCCTTTGTGGTTTTGACAAACATCTGAATTATCTGTGTTTTGTAATAAGTTATGGGGTAAGAAAATATTAAGGGGAAGACATGGAGGAAAGGGAGCTTAGTTTGAAGCGAAGGTGGCAGATACAGATGCCCTGACACTCGGAGCAGGTTGGATAGGCCGAGG